CCAAGGTAGCCGTTAACACTGTTAAATTATATACATAAATCATCAAAGAAGGTAAATACAGTGTTCGAATAAAGGACATAATATGAATTAAAAATGTTAATAGGCCTATATATTATTGTAATAGATTAAATTGCAGTTAACATACGGTAAATTCTAACTCCTTTTAAACTTTAAAACAATCACAACACCATGCTCATGTTAGGCGTGAGCCCGAGTTATAATTTGCTTTACCCGTTGCTGGGCTCAATGAAACTGACAGGGTCTCTGTCGTTCGTGGTGATTGCGCGCGCAGGCAATAAATACTATAATATGGACGCAAGCGAACTGATGGTAAAAGTATGTTGATTAATAGCGAGGAAAATGTTCAAATTCAAATTTTCAGGATAACTTGCTTAAATATAATGTTAGCAATTCAACTGAATTGAATTTAGAACTGATACAAAGTAATTTTCCGAATGTAAAATTAGTTTGTCACTTTCAACCACTGATGTTTGAAAATGTGATCTTGTAAAAATAGATATACTGTACTGTATGTTCCAGACCGCACAAAAAAAAATCTTAATTTTGCAATACCGGTAGGTCATGAGTGAGAAAATTACACTTTATCCTGTTAGGCCAAAATTATGCCCCACGGAGTGTGGATGAAGTCGAAACCATATGCATAAATCTTTTATTTTACATGTATGTGACTTGAGATGGATTCAAACAGCTTCATAATAGTCTTTCAACGTCATGAATTTCTAGCAAAATATGCTATTCTCAATATTTCTTTGGGAATTTGACGGTTTCAAACTTCCGATTTGTCTTAGGAACTCGTTTAATAGACTCTTTTGATCCTGACGAGCTATCACCCACCTGTTCAGCTAAGTCGCCCCTCGTGACTTCCTCAATTCTCGACGCATTGGCGCATTTAATTTTCACCAAGCATATCGTCATAATAAATTGAAAAGTTTCCGCTTGCTGCTGTAAAAACAGGACACTAGAGGGAGCACTTTATTACATCCTGTCCAATAAGAGTGATCGACAGCTGAACGCCGATTGGCATGAACAGCAGATGACCTAACTGTTCTGCGCGGGTTCTTCCTATTTGCTTGTTCCGGAACCAGTCATCGTTGAATAATTTTGTCTGCACTTTTATCCATGAGTTGGAGTCGGGCGTTTGCACGCTCATGGAGCACACTAACGCCGATATAGTTTTAACATAATGTAAGACAGTAATGTGTGGATCGAAAGCTACGAAGTTTGCCTATTGTCAGCTGCTATTTTAATTCTCGGCACTGTGCTGTGGGCAGCTGTCGGTCTTTGTCTTTGCAATAAATTGAATTTTAGTCATTTTTCTCTGCTTCTGTAGGACACCGGGTTAACAAATCTGGAATTGTGTTTTCAAGTGAGCATACATTCGTCTGTTTGGACCGATATTCTGCGGAAGCAACGGTGCTTCGCTGGCCACAACGAACATACTTGGATTTAAAATGATTCTAATAAAAAGGAAATAGAATATTCTGCAAATCGATATTGACATCAATTCATGGAGACCAGCAGAATTCATGGGAATAATAGGGATGCCAGGCCTACAGGTCTGCACAAACTACGCACATTTAATGCGCCTCGAGGAGGAATATACCCCATCAAGGTAGGCTATCAATCCATACACATGCACTGACTTGATAATAGGTTGTCATTTCCAGTGTTGGCTATTTACCAGGGGTTGGGGGGGGGGGCTGGTGGCATGCCCCGGGAAAGTTTTGTTTTCTAGAAGGCTGGAAATAACTTCTGAGGCGTTTTGGGCTATCAATAATTTCTTTCCTTTCTTTTTTTCTTTCCCCGTAAATCCGCCCCTATTTACGGTGTACATTCATTACACGTTATTTTCCTATAATATTCTTAGTGAAGATTAAGAACCTTTTCAATTGTGCAGTTAGGCATAATCAGCCTAATAACTATTTTCGGCAGACAACATGAAATTATTTTTTCATATTTATAAAGCGTCATTAAGAAGTTATTGCAGATTCAATAGACACGTACTGAACATACAGTAGTACACGTTTCGTCAGAGCCATACACATTTGAGTTTAAAATAAATTTAACACTGTAGTTTGACCTCTGATTGAACGTATTAACTATTATGATTGTGAACAGACCAAAAACTACCGTGCACACAATTCTGTACTGTATTATTCCTATTGTAGTCATACTTATGCAAAACAATTAGGCCTACATATACAGTAATCTTAACTGCAGATACACAGATTAATAGTGTAATAATTCATGATAGCATTTAAACGTGGTACTGAGTTAAAACTTGGGCTTATCATCATTAGCGGCATGATGTGTGTGTCTGCCAATGCAATCTCCGTGATTTCTATAACAGACGATCATTCATTGTATACCACCAATTTTCCTCCTTGAATACCACACACTGCAAATGGAGAGTTTCGATGTGCGAATAATTTTATACACTGTCTAAATTTCTATTCATTTGATTTTTTTTCTTAACAAATTCTCTTTAGCGTTCTATTTTACAACCGCGAGGTTACTTCGCAACGCATAGTAAACCGTAAAAGGAAGAAAATAAATGTAATTCTTTTTCTATTTTAGTTAAATGTACATAGGGGCCTGTATGTATATGAAATCAAATCGTTCGTGATTATCGACTATTGAAGTGTGCGATAAATTTTGTCAAGTGAGTGCTCTCTGCGAGCGTCTCTTGTATTTTGACAGCCTAAATCATGCTACATGGTAACCCTTTGGATCAGGCAAAACGATAAGGTGAACGGCCAGTTGCTCTTCTGGACTTTCCTAACGCTGGCAGAGTTGGTGCCAGTTCTCGAGTCCCGAACTCCAACACTGTCAATCTGGATCAGTGAACGTCAAATGAAGACAATATCTTAGCATTTTATGCTATGACCTCCCTAAAGCAAAATATTACTGTTGTTTCGCATCCGTGCGATTTGTATCTGATTGGTGAGTAATTAATCAGGAGACGCAGTCGATTAAGCTGTACAAAGTACAGTACCCGTATAGTGGAGTAGGCCTATTATATAATCACTGTGTTTAATATAAACTAGAGGCAGTAAAATAAGTTGAAAAAGTGATTGTATCATTTTAACTAACAATAATTTTCAGGCGTAGGCCTACAGTGGGGTACTTAACATTGGCATTTTTTTTAGCGATGCCGAGCGATTGGCTACTTCCTTCTCTAATCAAAATTTACGATGTACGACTGTTAGTGTTTTACGCGCGCAGCAACTCGTCTGGTCTCGTGGGGATCCGAACCCAGTTGGTACAGATGGTTGCTTAAATCTTTGCTTTAGTCTATACACACGAAGCATGGACGGTAAAGGAAACCAATCATTATCTGATACTTTGCTACAACCACTTGCAGTGGGTGTGTCGATTTAGTAAACCTCTAGTAGAACATTGTGAAAACAACCATAATGATAAACTTGAACATGTTTTCTTTGTAGAGCACAAATGTATAATGAACGAATGCATTGAAGGATGTCTGGAAAATCTCTTAATTTTCAATGCATGCCGTAAGCATTTCGCAGGAGTAACTCAACCTAATTTTTCTCCACTTAATAACAAATTTCTTGAAACAGCTTTTCCCCTTGTCCTTTTACAAATTACTTCCGCTTGGGGTATTTACCATTTTCGTCAACTGGCTATTTGTCCAAGGCCGAAGGCGCATTTTATTATATTGCATACAGCCGGGGTTGTAAACGTTTATGTCGCGTATTAATTGGATATGATGTTTTCGGTGTCACGTGATTTGATGCACCTGTCTCAACGCTGCGCATTGGATCCAGCGGTCTAGGTCTGGCTTGTTGTCAAGGTCCGTTAAGTATACTGACTCTACAAATGACGAAAGTCTGCTTATAGTTATAATTAAGGCAAGATTAATTGTGATAGGCCTACTGTATACATAGATATCTATATCTATAGGCCTGTATGCATATATACAGTATATGTTTGCTTCGATAAATAAAATATAGAAAGACAGCAATAAAAAAAACAGTATGAGTTGTAAACATACTAGAAGCAATATAATTTATTAAATCACACATATTTTAAACACTCCTATGTTCTTCCTCAGTGTGAGGACAACTGACAAAAAATACAAAGTAAAGCAAGTATAAGGACTGTCTCTTATACACATCTCAGATTAATAGTGTAATAATTCATGATAGCATTTAAACGTGGTACTGAGTTAAAACTTGGGCTTATCATCATTAGCGGCATGATGTGTGTGTCTGCCAATGCAATCTCCGTGATTTCTATAACAGACGATCATTCATTGTATACCACCAATTTTCCTCCTTGAATACCACACACTGCAAATGGAGAGTTTCGATGTGCGAATAATTTTATACACTGTCTAAATTAAAGAAAACAATCACGAATTTCTATTCATTTGATTTTTTTTCTTAACAAATTCTCTTTAGCGTTCTATTTTACAACCGCGAAGTTACTTCGCAACGCATAGTAAACCGTAAAAGGAAGAAAATAAATGTAATTCTTTTTCTATTTTAGTTAAATGTACATAGGGGCCTGTATGTATATGAAATCAAATCGTTCGTGATTATCGACTATTGAAGTGTGCGATAAATTTTGTCAAGTGAGTGCTCTCTGCGAGCGTCTCTTGTATTTTGACAGCCTAAATCATGCTACATGGTAACCCTTTGGATCAGGCAAAACGATAAGGTGAACGGCCAGTTGCTCTTCTGCTCTTTCGTTAAAACCTGAGTCATTTATGCAGTTCATTTCAATAATTTTCATGCATGTTTTTAACTTATGAAACCACATTGCCACCGAAAAGGGGGGCGGGGGTGGGAGATGTGTGAGGATTCTCCCATGATTTACATCAATCCGTCAAAAACGGTATCATAGAACCATCCTTAGGTTTTTGAAAACCTTGGCTCCTCTTGCAACTTGTAATTAATTTTGGTGCACAGAACCCCAGTTTGAATGTTCGTATCGTCAGCGAATTTCTATCAAGTATCGAAATGCCTAATCGTGTTTCGTTACTATTAATTTCACGCCCTGTTTACATCAATCCGATAGGGAATAATTACAGAGTCCGTGAAATTGATCGACAGAGACACTCAACGAAATGTACGATCAATTTCTGCAGATGTTACGTTAAAGTCGTGGCTGTCGAAACTGTTATAGTGGGATAGACTTAGGTCTATTATAACGGATTATATATAGAGGATCCGATAGTTCGAGTTGATCTGTTTCATTCTTGTCTGTAGCACTGGAAGATGGGGGGAAATAGTTAATATATTTAGGGCAGTAACATTTGGTTAAAAGCCCCTGACAATGGCTGACATAAGAAAAGATCTTGGGGCCGATGTCCTGTGTCATTTAAAACAAAACAAAAAAAATAATTGGAGAAATATTTAGGCCAGGTCTAACAGCCATTTAATGATGAAAGAAAACATTATTATCGTAGCCTTTATTTTCCACGTCTATTCACCAATATGACCATGAATTATTTGGAGAAAGAAACCAAACACAATTGTGTTGTTCCTGATTTACTCAAAATTAAGCAGGTACTAAAACTTAAAAACAACTTAACTTGCATACAGTACTTCTACTAAACATATTTACATAAAAATAATCAAAGCATTTAGTATTTAAAAGCGTCACCGAAAACTACATTGTGCTTGGGATTACACAGGTTCCGAGAAGTTTCTGTCAAGAGAAATCCAGTTCGAAATAAATTGCGCAAGGGCGCCACACATAGTGTTTATCCCCCAAGTGAGGAATGTTGCTACCGAGACGGCCTTGCGTAAATCCTGTCTCTTATACACATCTAGATGTGTATAAGAGACAGTTCCAGTACAGTGTATACTGCTGCAAAAATAATACTTCTCTATGTTTGAAAATTGTGTAAAATAAGAACATTTTGAGCCTGAAATCGGCCAAAAAAATAAGAACAATGAGTTTGGGAAAAATTTTACTGGTTTTACATTTGAGTTACGGCGGCTGTTGGCAGTTGGTTTATAGGTTCATGATCTGTAATCTAATTATTATATAGGCCTATTTTACATAGGCCTCTGTACAGACCTGAATAGGCCTATTAATAACGCTGTATGTAGGGCCTACCATTTGTACGTCACAGATGTAACCTTTTTGGTGCACCCTGAACTTAACAGCATGAAGGGTTTAAACGAAGTTCCACGCAATTTCACACCGCTTTTGACCAGACGTAACGTGGTTAGATACTGTAGTCATATAATGTGCTTAGGATAATGTAGCTTGAAATGTGGCTGTCTCTTATACACATCTAGATGTGTGGCTCTAGCTCGCAAAATAAGGTGATTACTTGAGTGTGGGGCGTGGGGGGGGGGGGTTGCGCAAGTATCTTACGTAGCGAGTGGTACGGTGGACAGAGAGAAGTTCTTCCCCTCCTACCAGGCTCCCACACTGACTTACTCAGAAAGCATATCTCCGGTATCACACATTCTCTAACTAGATCCTCACCCCTTTTCTACATGCTAAATACTACGGTACTGCTGATCCGTCACTGATGTAATACAACGACACCACAAAATGTTCCCTGACATGAATGCCAACATCTAAAAATGTACCATTAACGTTTATTTAGGCCTGTAAGACATTCGTGTA